TTTTTCCCCATAATGTCCCCCATCTTTCATAATGAAGTTAGTCCTTCCTGTATTATGCAGGACATTGAGTTCCTCCAGTAACTTAAGGCTAGTAACGATGCCTGCATGCTCCCGCACTCTGTCCCCTCTCTCAGACCACCTCATTCTGCACCTGCAGGAAGAGCAGGTGTGCCCTTCACCAAACCATGCACGCAGAGGCCGGGCCTAAGCTTTGAAGTGGTATCTTGCGTTGTCTGATAGCTACAGAGGTCTCTTCGCCAAGCACCACCAAAAATGAATTACCGTGGTAAAATATAGTCAATTCCTGTCATTCAAGATAGTTATGTTCTAGAAAGCTGCTGCTAACACAGAATTCGCAAATACTGAACCGTCGCTCCTAGGGGAAAGAAAGTGTTACGTTCCTACAAGCCCATGGCTACACTTTTGTCATTCAGTATGTAACCTTGTGTTAGGTGTTTATCTGTTTCAGGACACATTATTTAATATATATTATTTACTCATTAACATTGAGTTCACAGCCGACAGCACCATAACTCATGCCTAAGCAAAGATGATCTAAATCAGGTATTTTCTCTGTAAGATACCTCACAGCCATCTTGTGCTTAGGAGCAGTAGACAGCACTGTGCTAGGGGACTATTTTACATAGCAAAATCCCCAACAAATTGCATATTAAATGTGAAAGACAGGATACTAAATAGACTGCAGAAAGACTGCTTGTTTGCAGGGAAAGAGCTGAAACAAGAGGACAGAATGTCACTTGCTCAGCCTCAGCTGGGAATGTGTTCATCAGGTGACTCAAACTTTCAGCACCCAGCGTGTGTCTGCAAATAATTGTGAAGGCATTGGTAATATTGATTTGAGGGCTACATTTTGGTGAATAGGTGAAATCACAAATATGGGAAACTCAAATAAGAGTTTTGACTCCAAGTGTTTAATGGGCTAGATCATATGCGGATTATTATATTCTGTTTTAATTACTTATGAGTGACATCAGAAGCTTTGTGGCATATAGAAATTTATTTCTAAATTGTTTTGCTGAGGCGCAGATTTTTTTTTTTTGTGGAGCATCATAACAAGCCGTGTGGGCTGCCATATTGCTGAGGATAATATATTTTGAGATCAGGGGAAGGGGGCAGGGGGCACTCTGGCCTGAGTTTCTCTGAAGCAACATCTGGACCAGGAGGTGGGATCTGCTAATAGGTACAAGGAAGAGCTCACCAGGGGTTGAAGAACCTAATCTAGACTTTAAGCTGTTGAAATGCAGCCCATGAACAGGTTGGGGTGCTCCTGTGGAAGACAGGAGATAGATGAAGGGACATATGCTCATCTCTGGACATATGCTCTGATCTCCAGGTTTGCACCCAGTTCCAGACTTTTGTTCTCTCTCTCAACTCAGCACTTGTCCATTGAAGACCCTTTGGTTGCTGAGCTTGCTGTCACAGGCCCCTGCAGATGAGGTTAACTAGAGGTCCTTTTCCAGGTGTTACTTGGGGAATGATAACTTTGGGCAGATTATACTCAGGAAAAATGTAAGTGCTTTTGATGCTGTATGACAACAGAGTCAATCAGAAGGTGGCAATGATGGGTTGGGGGCGTGTGTCTCAGGGAAACTGTGTACCAGGGGTCCTCCTCTTCCTACCAAGAGGACTTATGCCTTCTAGAGGATACACAAGAAGAAGAATCTGGATCATGGCTTTGGATACACAAGAGGAAGAATCTGGATCATGGCTTTGGCTTCCCCAGTTTGATCCTCTGGCCCCCATTCAGCTCTGCAAACAGGTGGCAAAGCACGGCCTCCATTCTCCAGCACAATGTGGAGGTGGCCGACCAGAGATGGGAACTGAGCCGAGAAGTTTGCCCAGTTCATCTCAGAGTGCTCTGTTTCAGGCTGGAGCTCTTCTGTCTTCTCAGTAACTCTCCTGAACTGGTTTAAAAAAAAAAAAAAAGTTTGGTGGCCCGGAGAAGAAATTTTGGATAAACTGAAGACAGAAAGTGGAACGCAGTGGTGGTTCAAATAGAGGGTATGAGTGAATCTGCCTTCCATCCAATACAGAAGTCGGAAAAACTGATTCATGGAGCTTTCTGCCGGGGCTTGGGCCAGGGTAAATCTGCTCAGGTATGCATACGGCTACTCAAAGGCCGAACATTCGTGGCAGAGGAAGCCTAAGGAATTCTTACCCACCTCCGAGAGGGTGGGAGGACAAGAGGGAAGAAAGTGGGAACCTGTACGTATTTCTGTGTTTACAGTTTTGGGGCCTTGAGTTGTATCCATTTGGAATACTAAGAAATTAGTCTAGTAGCTTCTAACTTTTGAAAGTGGTAGTAAGCGCTATCGGAGACTTACTCTTGTGTCTGAACTGTTGTAGAGGACTTCTGCTACTTCTCAGCTGTAACTGGGCGAGTTAGTTACTATTTTGTGCCTGTTTCCTGATCAGTAAAAGTGAGGGCAGTAACAGTATCTCTTCCCCAGGGTGGTGGGGAGGAATAAGTGAAGAGTGTACACGACATGCTTAGTACAGTGCCAGGCATGTGGGAAGCACTGAGACACCATGGTTAGTTCCTGCTTTGTCCTCCCAGCTACCTCCTTCCTGTGGGTGTCTGCTCGTCCTTCACTCAGATGATGCAAATTTGGTAACGCTACCAGTCTCCTTGGTCCAAGTCACAGCTGGGTAGACCCATCCTAGGAAACTAGTCCTTTGCAAGTGACCCTAGCTGAGTTGGAGAGGAGAAGGAGTGTCGCCTTTGCGGGAATGTAAAATTGGTGGTACCTTCCAGCATATGACAAGGACCTTTCTGTAAAATGGAGGCAGGACCATGTGGTAACCTTGAGTTCCTAAATCTAGTCATGACCAAAGCTTAGACTTCATCATAATATTTTGATTTTTTTTTGCTCAAGTTAGCTGAAGTTCAGTTTCTTCCCCTTGCATTAATGTGGAGGAAGAACTACCATTGCTTTTTTTGTTTGTTTGTTTGTTTTACATATCAGAACTCCAGATTTCTTGAGCGTATGGTGGGAATTCTACTAAGGTCAAGACACTGCCTTTCTAGAGATGCTTTTTTTTTTTTTTTTCCTTTGAGCAATCTCTACACCCATTTAGGGCTCAGACTCACAGCCTGGAAATCAGAATCACATGCTTTACCAACTAAGCCAGGCTGGTGCCCCTAGAAATGCTTTATGAGTCACTTTCATCCACCATTCACTTTTAGTATAAATCAGACATCTGTCCTTCCAGATTTACTTTCCAGTTACCAGGTGACACATATGAAAGCTGAATAAGGTTTTTTGACAGAAGGGTAAAGAGGTCAAGAGCTACTTTGGAGGGTCTTCAGTAGCATGGAAGTACTTAGTGCCATCAAGGAGTGATGACAAGGGAAAGGACAAGTGATTGACGAGGGAAAGGATTTGGGAAGGCAGGAGAGCACTTCGAGGAGGTTGGAAGCAGGACAGGCAGAAGAATCTAGTGAGGGCTGGGGTAGGGCAGAGGGCAGGTATTCTGTGGGCCTCAAACTAGAAACCCTTTCCAGAACTCCACCTTATTAAAGGGCATCTGATTCGGGGCGCCTAGGTGGCTCAGTGGGTTGAGCCTCTGCCTTCGGCTCAGGTCATGATCCCAGGGTCCTGGGATTGAGTCCCACATCGGGCTCTCTGCTCAGCAGGAAGCCTGCTTCCCCCTCGATCTCTGCCTACTTGTGGTCTCTCTCTCTCTGTCAAATAAATAAATAAAAATCTTTAAAAAAAAAAAAAAAAGGACATCTGATTCCAGGAGGCTCCCGGGGCACAAATCAAAGCCATGAGGCAGATGGAAGTAAGAACGAGATACAAAAGAAGAGCGTGATACTTGGGTGATAGAGATAAGAGACAAAGAAGGAGGGAGGAAAACTTCTCTGGAGGGAGTAAGGCGAGAAACCAGAGTGACCACATCAAAAAGAGGACAACAATGGGATGTGGGGTGGGGGTGGGGGAGACCCTTGAGACCAGGCCTTTCATAAAGCCTGGCTGGGTTTACCAGTCCAGGTGGGCAACTCTGAAGTTACAGACCCCATGGCCTCTGCGGAAGCTCATTCTTATCCAGTCAGCCTGCTGGAATCCCAGTGGATGTACAGTCCTTGCTTCCTTCCTGCACTCCATTCTGCCTGGCACGTCAGAGACCAAGGACACACAGAAGCTGGTTCAGAAAGTGAAGGAAAGTTCCCTTTATGGCACTTGAGTCTATGAATGTGGGGCCACTGGTCAAAAGGAAGACTACTTCCTTTTCTTAATCCCCTGCAACCGGAGACCAACTTCGCTCTGCACAAGACTAGCGTGTGATGTGGCTCCCTGGGATTTGGAGCCCCTGTCCTTTGACGCTGGAGCCAGCTGGCTAGGTTGGGTAGCTGTTGGAGTCAGGCATCCGCCTGGGGACAAGAGTCCCTGGCCCTTCTGACCCAGGACTAGGAAGATGGTTCACCATCCAGCAGCAAGCAAGTTTGCAGTTCCAAGCGATGGGGGAAGAATGTGGTCATTTGAGCCCTGACAGTTGCATAAGGGTCTCAGCGCTCCCCCACCGCCTGGCTGCTGCTGCTGCTGTCGAGACCCTGTCAGTGACGAAGCACTCTGCGCTTGGGATGGTCGCTCCCACGTGGCCATGAGCACCCCAAAACCACCTGGACTGGGCGAGAGCCCACCCAGCAGAGAGCCCGGGCCAAGGCCATTTCCAAGCCAACGCCCACAGAGCAGTCCCAGTGAACAGCAGGTGTCACCCTTCTGCTTCCAAACCCCCAGTGCCTCCAGGTGCCTGGTGAGCTCCCCAAACTTGCGCGTGGGAGCAGCGGCCCGCTGGTGGCCCCAAGCACCTGCGCGGCACATCCTGGGGGTGGTGGGGGCGGGGTGGCGGTGCGGGGTCGCGGGGCTGCAGGTGCCCGCAGGAGCTCTGGGCGGGCAGAGGTGGAGGCTCGGACTTGCGCGGAGGTGAGGAAGGTGGCTTGCGCTTCCAAGTCCCTCCCCCTTACCCCGGCAGTTTCTTGGGGCGCCGAGCAGCGCGGAGGAGGCGCTCGCACCATGGCCCGGGTCCCCGCGCGCCTGCAGTTCCGCGTGCAACTGCGCTTCGTGACGGAGGAGCAGCTTTTCGGGGCCGGGCCGCTCTCGGCCCCGACCCCGAAGTCTCTGCGACTGGAGGTGCACCCGGCGGGGGAGGAGGCGGACGCGACGGTGATTGACGGTGAAGTACTGAGTCCCGCTCGGGAAAGTTGGGGCGGGGGCCGGCGCGCGTGTGCGGGGGCGCGGCTGCGTGTCCAGGATGTGTGCGGAGTGCGCGTGTGCTTTCGGGCGCGTGGAAGTGTGGGTTGCGCCGTCTCTGTCGCCCCGGGAGGTGTGCACCCCGAGGCTCGCCGAGAGGAAATGCCAGGCTACTTCTCCCCAACTCCCGCTGGCCCAAATCGCGTCTCTATTGCGCTCCAAGAACTTGGGAGCGGCGGGCAGCCGGGCGCTGAGAACTTGTCCTGGCTAGAACTTAGAGGTGTCAGAAGCCAGGTCTGGAGAAGACAGGCGCGCGATGTCCTCGCCCGGCACCTACTCAGGAGCAGGGCAGGGCAGGGAGCCCCGTCTCCTTACTTCCAGGCCTGCTGGGCTCCTGTTACCTTCCAGGCCGCTGGCCACCCTCCCGCCACGCCTGCAGCTTTCTGTGGGCCAAGTTCTGATGCGCGGGAAGGGCCGTGCGGCTTGTTCACCAGTCGGAATGGCTGTTGTGGCCAGTGTGGTCTCCACTGGACATTACATTTTGGTTCAAAAAAGGGACCTTTTACAACCAAGTGTGACCCCTGGCTTCCTGGAGCTGTGGGTATGTTGAGGGAATGCTTTTAATTTGTATAGGATCCTAGACTTTTTGAGAATCCAAGGAAACCTATAGAACTGCGGGCAGAAAATGTGCATTCCGCAGCATCAAACTTTACATATAAATAAGACGGGATAATAGCTCCTCCTGGCAGCTTATATTAAACACCCCGCTCTAGTAGGTGGAGGGAACAGAGCCCCAGACAGCTGTAAGCCTCCAAAGACTCCTGGAGTTTCTTTTTCCGGCCCTAACTTCTTAAGATTCTGAGAATTGTTTAAAGTGCTCTGTGTTGGTTCCAGTGGGAATTTCAAATAACACAACTACTGACCTGCTCCTCTGTGAGGAGAATACAAGTCACTGCTGTGTCTCCTAGGCCTTAGGACAGACAGACACAGTAGATGCTCAATACCTGCTTACTGTGGGATGATAGAAAGCCTTTGCGTGTGTCTTCTCGCTTCCCTCTAGGCTGGGATGGGGAAGTCTGGATCTTTAAAAAAGAGATATTAAATATTGTTTGCCTCGTGTCTTAGCTGGAGTCTTGGCAAGGGATCAAAAGCCTTACTCAGCAACTCCTAGATTTCTCTTTTGGTTGCAAGGGTGGGGGGGGGAGAAGTAGCTTCCAGTATTTCTCCTGGGAATTTTAAAACTCAAGGTGCCTGAAAAGTGTTCAGTTTGTCAATGATGGTCATCTGATTTAATGGGTAGCCAGGCATGTGGAGAAACAAAGGCACAGATTTCAGATTTACACATTATTTGGTGTCCTATGAATTTCTTTGCCACAGATAATGTGTTAAGAGAAGGAATCCCTGAGGTTCAGGGTGATTGAAGTCGTAGACTCTCCCGCAAGTTACTGATGCCTGGCCTGTGTGGATGTAATTATCTTACAGAGAGGAATATGCTTTCCCTTAATGTAGTTACTAGAGTCTAGAGGTAACCTCTGTGGGATGGGTTAGACCAGAGTAATGGAAATGGGAAAATTAAAGCTAGGGCAGGCAGCCATTGTCACCCAATTTTGACAATTCTTTGGGAAAGAATCACTAACCAGAAAGAGGAGAGCTCACTCTCTTAATAGCTTAAATCCTGAAACGCAATTGTTAAAGCCTTCTATGGAGAGTTTTGGGAGAGAAGCTAATTCTGGAGTTGTTTTGTTAGTAGCTCGTTTTACCGTGTGACCAGCTAGACCACTGTATGATGGGCAGGCCAAGGGAGTTTAAAAACAGATTCTCATGAACTCTTAGAAGAAAGATTTGGGTGTGTTCAAATATAGTAGCCGCATTTCTCTGAGAAAACAGTCATTCATTCTTTTTCTTTCTTGCATATTTTTTTTTGAGTCCCTATCCTACCACAAGCCTGCCTGAGATCATGCCTGATTCATCCTTTTATCTCCAGAGTCTTCCACAATACTCAGTACGCACAAGACATCAGTAAAGGTTTCTTGAGTGCATCAGTGATTTAAATCCAGAATTTTTAAATGTTGCAGAAATAAAACTTTAAATACTGAGCACTGAGTGCAGAATCTGAGTTGCCCCCAAATGATTAAGACAATTGATTTGACGTAGTCTCTAGAGGGATGTTTTAAAATACAGTATATTCATAGAAAACTTGAGGTACACTAAGGTCAATAAACCAGGCACTGAGTGCCACTGGAAAATTAGCTGCTTATAGTTCCCGGGGTGAGGGGGGCACACCACACCATGGTGGCGGACACATGAAGAAGCAGTAGGCGTGTTGGGGGTGGGTAGGAGACAGAGAGAGTAAGGGAAATTGTGGGTAAGAGACTTCACTGTGGTTTTTGTGGGAAGGAATGGGGGAGGCAGCATCAGCAGGCTTAGGTTGACAGGTTTGAATAATTTCAGCGGGGTCTGGAGAACCAGGGCTGTCCCAAGTTGTCTGGCACCTGGCCCCAGGTTGATTATGGCAGGTGGATAGTGGCCTGGAGTGTGAGAGCCCAGTTAAGGGGGTCTCGGAGGTGTGGGCTCTGGATTGGTTGGCTTGTGTTTGAAAAGTGGGCTTGCAGTGAGTTGTTTGCTATCTCTAGGAATTGGTTAACCTAGGAGGGGCCGTCTCCCCAGGGTCAACAAGATCCCAAATGTCAAAGCATCAGATACAAAAATAAAAGATGTGGTTAATACAAGGGAGAATCAGAACATAAGAGAATTGGTAAGGATGGTATATAGGGTGGGGGTGGCTGCCTGCTGGGCTTGGAGGGGCGGCTGCAAGCAGGATGGGCCTCGGGGTAAAGTCTGGAGTTCAGGTGATGGGGGAAAAATACTATCTTCATACCTCAAGTATGGGAAAGAACTGGAAGATGGAGAGAAAGCAGAGAGCAGGTGGGAGATGGGTCTGCTGCTTCTCCACTCCTTCCTCCAAGGTCAGTGCCATGACGGGGGGTGAGTGGTGGAGGAGAAAGGAATTTAAGAACTGAGACTGTATCACACAAAGGTTAATGGTAGACTGGATCTCCAGGAGAGAGGAGAGAACATTTCTTCCCTTGCTAAGTTTAGAGCTGTCTTTTAATTAATCTGGAAGAGTTAGGGAAATATATAAATAAGCCACACAAATAATCAAGTATAAAAATGCAGTGATTTTTTTTCTCTGAGGTATTTTAAAAGGATGCTAGGTTTTTTGTTCCCTCGTGGTTGCTCATCTCATTAGAGGGGGAGAAAAGATAGAAGAAAAGTCAGAGCAAGACATCCTTTGTATCACATGTGAGTATTAATCTCCCTTCATTAAATTCTGTGATAACAGACTCAGTAAGTTGAAGCCTATGATCAGAATCCTGAAGTCAGTCACCTACAAATGATACACGCATTCATTTGCTTTTCATTCAACAAATATTTATTGAACACATGTTCTGTACTAATCACTGGGTGAACAGTACATGAGCTAGATAAAAGCCCTTCTGTATGGAGCTAATATTTTAATTGGGGGAAGATGCTGGCCAGTGACATAGCAAGACAATTTCACAGTGAGATAAATGATTTGAAGAAAATGAACCCAATGGAAGAAAAAAAAAAATAACAGAGACAAAGAAAGGGAGGGAGGGAGTCCAATTTAGAGAGTAATTGGGGAAGGTCTCTCTGAGGAAGTAGTATTTGCTCTGAGGCAAGAAGGATGGAAGGAGCCAGCTAAGCAGAGAGCTGGAGGAAGAAGACAACAGGCAGAAGGAACGGCAGGTCGAAAGGCCCTGAGGCTGCAAGGAGTTGGCGTGTTTGGGACGGCCAGGGGAGCCAGTGCTCCCTGAGGGAGACGGAGGTAATGGGAATTCAAGATAGTGCCCCAGTTCTTCTTAGAGTATAACAAGCCATCTTTAAGCTCACTGACTTACAACTATTTATGATGCTTCCAGGCATCATAAGGAACCAGGCAGGGGATGGCTGGGTGATTCTGTTGCTCCTTATAGCATTGACTGAGGCTAATCACTGGGACCCAGCTGGTGGCCAGCCTGGTCTGGGGGACACAAGGCAGCTTCATTTACCTGGGCTAATATCGGAGCTGGTATGATGGTTCATTTTCTGTGTCAGTTTGGGTGGGCTGTGTACCCATATATTTGTTCAAATATTATCTGGATGGTTCTATGAGTGTGTTTTTGGATGAAACTCATGTTTAAATGGTGACTTTGGGTGAAGCAGATTGCCCACACTGAATGTGGGTGGGCCTCATCCACTCAGTTGAAAGCCTTAACAGAACAAAGACTGATCTTCCCCAAGCAAGAACGAATTCTGTCAGCAGATGGCCTTTGGACTTGAACAGTAACACTGGCTCTTCCCTGGGTACTCACTCTGCTAGCCTACCCACAGATTATAGGTTTGCCAGATATATGGACACCCCCACCTCCTGCCATGGATACTGTTTCTCTGGAGAACCCTGACTAATAAAATGAAGACTCAAAGATGAGGACCGACAGTGGGGAGCCTACCGCGGCCTCTCCACATGGCTTGGCTTCCTCCCACCGTGGGCTTCTTACCCAGAGACTTCATGGCAAAATGTGAAATGTGAAAATGTGAAAAAAAAAAAAAACTTCTATTAATTTTCCAAAGTAAATTGTCAATTAGAAATAATGTAAAGATATTTGGCAAGCAGCTGTAAAGCAAAGCTACCACTTTTATGGAGCTTACATTCTAGAACCATTTGGAAAGCTTCAGGATTCTTTGTCCATGCTGGACTTCCTGAAAGACTGTATGAGAAAAATATATTTTGTGATTCTAGTAGATTTACTGTGTGTATAGTTGTCTTATGTGGAGTCTGTAACGTCAGCCTCTCTGGTGAGGAATCATTTCTCTGGGCCTTTTTATGTGTTGTTCCTTCTGCTTAAAATGCTTTTCCAAATCCAGATCTCCACTCTGGCCTTTGGTATATTTTGTTCCTACTCATTCTTTAGTTCAAAG